AATGCTGAGGTAGCATCCTCTCCACAAAGCTGAGGTATCATCCTATCCAGAAAGCTGAGGCAGCATTATATCCAGAAAGCTGAGGTAGCATCCTCTTTAGAAAGCTGAGGTAGCATTCTGTCCAGAAAGCTGAGGTAGCATTCTGTCTAGAAAGCTGAGGTATTTTGGACATGTCAAGCACCATGATGATCTAGAGAGAACGGTGATGGAGGGTGTAGTTTGCGGAAAACGAGGCAGAAGCGGACCTCCGCGAATGTGGATACAGGACACTGAAGGTGCAATGGCTGTGAAAGCAAACAGGGCCGGATAATTAGATACAGAAAGAGGGAATTTCAGGTGTGTAGAGCGACGTTCGGCGCTTTATTAATATCCTACCCCAAACAGGGGAAATCCACAGGTCATAGGACAGTCTACTATTTTAGGAGGTGGGATCTAGGCTGCATGCATTCGTGGGACCTAGGCTGTCCTCACTCGTAGGACGTATGTGGGTTGGGGTTAGGGCCAGTTCTAGATGTTTTGGGGTCGCTAAAAGCATAAGAATGCAGGGAAACCTAGTCTTACCACCCTCTAAAATCTTGGACTGTCCTGTGACGTCATCTGGGGTAAGATATTAATAATAAAGAACCAGCTGACTGATTGATTGCAGGATGCATACCTAACACTGGCAGCATCATCTCAGCAACAACAACAACAAAAATACAATAATTCCTATACATCTGCGTGGTCTCGAGGCATGGTGTCCGCCTCGAGTGCTAGACGTTGAGGATTTAATCCCCGGGAAGGGCTTTGATTTTTTTTTTTTCACGTGAACTTAAGACTTCTAGTAATTCCCCTGGTCTCTGGGTAGTTAGATCTGACGCCCGTGTGCATTGTTGCGCGCGTAAAAAAAATCCCTTGGTAATTTGGAAATAACAAAGAGTAGCCTAACGGCGTTGTTAGGGCAAAATTCGGAGTTAAAAATCTACATAAAGTATTTCAGGATCCTCGCTGGTGTTACAGAGCCTGTGCACTGTGCTGAGCTTCTTCGGACACAGACTTGAGTTAGAAGAAGAACAGAGCACTTATGGGTTACTACCCGTGTGCCACAATGTTGATCCGTTGTTCAGACCTAAAACCTCATCTCGAAAAAGCAAACTGAACTGACAGCAAGCGGACATTCAAATTCAAATGAATGCTCGGAATTCCCTCTACGGCTTCCGCCCCTCGGGTCTGGTATTGTTGAACTGAGCATTTAAACACATTTATTTGTGTTTAGTTCCAGCGGCAGACATGGTCTAATTGCTGTGACACTGGGGCCAGTCCATGCAGAAAACCGCTGTTGTGTTGAATTTATACAGGTGAAATGTAAGCCCAAAGCAGAGACTGTTGTTGCCGTGTCAGGTGTTCGGGTTTGGCATATTAATTTTAAGCACTGAAATAGGATAGGAGGGGGAGGGTCTACGTGACAAAGCAGCCGAGCCGTTTGCATTGCGCCCTGAAGATCGTGGGTGCATTACATAGCTGTGTTGATCGGTTGGCAAGTACGAAATATTTAGGAAGACCCCTGAGGATTGCTGTTGGAGCTACGGTGCTAGTACTTCGAACGATGATCTCGACAGGCGGCTAGCTGTTCTGTGGAGAGAGACCGAGGAATCTAGGAATCTTTTTTTTTTGTTACCTTGAAGCCATTCTTCCCTATCCAGCCAGGGCTGCCAATGGGATTTTCATCAAAACCCAAGCTAAGATGACCCCCTCACTCCTTTCCCCACACACACAAAAGCAATACATAAGCATAGAACAAAAAACCCAAGTGATCAAAAGTACAAATTTTATAGTTAAAAAGCGAAACATTTACCTACTTTTATATAGCATATTTTTTTTTTTAAACCAGATTCCAAAATAGAACCCAAGGTGTCATTACAAAAACAGAACTTGGGGAAAAACTCAGTATTGGTAGCCCTGCATCCAGCCTGGTCACAAAAATACAACCCTCATGGAGGTTGGGGGGGGGGGGGGGGGGGGAGAGAGAGAGAGAATTCCCGACCACCATTCTCGACAGAAAAGCGCAATAAACAAAACCCATATTTATGCCCAGAATTTCAGCTGAGGATCTGCATTCCTTCGACTAGGTGGGCCGGTTTGCTATTCACATTACGGAATTTCTTTAAAACAACTACCATTATAATTGCTTCAACCTACCTCAAACCATGATTTCACTTTACCCAACCACGGGCTGTTCTTAAAAGTGCAGTAGTGCGGCTCAATAACAGAGCACGTGTGACGGGCAGAATCTAGATAATTGACATAAAAAAGTGTCACTTTCAACAGGAAGTGCAAAGCAGATGGAAATCCTGGGGATTTACTGTTCTAACGGCCAATGATGGTGAAAAAAGTCTACCCAGGGGGCAAGTTGCATATTATAGTTTTGGCAAAAGAACCTGACATTAAAATGTTGCGAAATTTTACTGGGCAAAAAACTTCTGTAGTTTGCCACTGGTTGTGAACGGTACAACACTGATGACGTTGTAGAAATCAACGAAAATCCACTTGGCACAATATCGATTCTAGCTCCCGGATTCCGGTATATCGGGATTACGAAACTGTGTTCAAGAACCCTACGCCACAGGCGATGGTCGGTTATAAGATACTTGGTCTCACAAGAAATTTTCCACCGAGTTCATCACTCCAACAAATCCACCAGAGGTGTGGGTCATTACTCCAACAAATCCACCAGAAGTGTGGGAATGTTTAAATAAATTATCTTGAATATTGTTTTGTTGGAAGCGACTGTTCGCAGCTTATGGCATCATTATAAACCGGATGTGAGCCCGCAGATATAGCCAATTTTAAACTATGACGGATTAAAGTAAGGATGGATGTACAAGATGGTGGATTAAATTAAACCGGATGTACAATTCATCAACCGGTTACTTGACGACGGGCTGGGGAAGTAAACTGACTGATGGTTATCCCTGATATGTTTGAAATTACTGCTCCAAAATGGCACAAAAGTATGGCAGAATCACCAAAAACAGTTTTAAGGAAGAACTAAACAAATCCAGGGATTAAAAGAATCAATAAAATACGCTGGCGTTATACAGGACACTCACTGGTGAAAACATGATAACATAAATATAATGACCTTGCACTAGAATGCATAAAGTCAGTTCAGGGGCCTCACTGGTGTAGGGGTTGGTTCAGGTGCCTAATAGGAGCGGGAATAGACCCATTGCCACCTGAAAAGCATGTCGCAGAAGGCAACAAAAGAATTATAGGTGTTTATTTCGAAGTTAGAGAGAATTTACACAAGAGGCGAGGAAGCAACAGTCTGTTACATATAAGCCAAATCTGTAAAACAGATTTGCAGGCAATGATCAAGTTTTTTTAACAAGATTAAAGTCTAGAAGTTGACGAGCAATCAGAACTTTCTGGCAGAGAATACAGCCAGTGAACGCGAAAAAGAACAAAAAGCAAAAGTACCCACATGGTCACAAGAATTTAAAACAAAAAGCTGGCCAGTTTGCCACTTACTCATCGGCCAACGCTCATATGGTTGGCGAAATCAAGCTGAAATGAAACTGCTATGTCTGATTTATGCTTATGTAACACAGAAGCCAACTAAAGAAATAAAGGCAGACAAAAAAGATAGACAAGAAGGAATTACATAATAAGGTAAGCAATATAGCGAGAACACGGGGTGAACTGAACTTGCATCAAAGGGGAAAACGACGGTGTGAGGTTGTTGAGGCCCATTTTTTATTGCGAAATAGTGGGGGGGGGGGGGAGGAGGAGAAGAAGAAAAAAAGAAGAAGAAGCCTGATGCAAGTAAAACTCAAATTATAATCAACGGGGGGTTTTAAATAAACGGATGTACAAGATGCTGGATTGAGTTAAACAGGATGTACATTTTCTTAAGTCTGATATCTGACGATGGATTGGAAAAGTGGACGTTGACAGTTCTGCGCAGAATGATAGCGCTTAAATTAGCCAATCTCTGCTTATGTGTTATCTGATTCATACACCACAGACGCGAAACTACAAGGTCAAGCACACATCATGTGTAAATACACTGCTGGCAAATGGCGATATGTCTAGGCATTAAATGTTTCACATACAGATTAACCACACTTCGGCCAATACTGCTGTATCAACAACGGGAGATAAATGAGTTCATCATCTCGGGGTGCATACGAGTATGTAGTGTTGATGCTTGTCTGACAACTTTGCTTGTTCTGTTACGAAATGCAATGAGAAACTGGAAACAAAAATCAACTGAACGAGAACCAGACCCAGTTAGTTTTCCCACAAACGACAAAATAAACGTTGCAGCTAAACAGCATTCATCAGTATTGAACACACTGTACAACTACGTTTAGAAAAAAATCTAAATAAATTTACAGCTTTTCAAAAGAAAAAATACGAGACGTAATAAATTAGATTATCCCAGTATCTAACTCCCACCCCAACTCTTTTCTTTCATACTTTGGTCTTTTATTAGGTGACAACTAGCGGTTGTGACTAGCAAGTTTGCCTCGAATGCAGTCAAGGTGCGCTCAACGACAGCAACTTCTGGATGAACCAGACCATGATCAAGGGAAGTGGTCGGGCCACAGTGAAAACACCACACATGGAGCACTAACGGGTCTAAACAGAAAATTCAGGACAACATCGTATATTACCATCTTCTCATTTGAAGCTTTTCCTTTTCACATGTGCAGAGAATAATAGTAGAGTAAGTAAAGGTCCCTTTTCCACGCCATTTAGGCGTATTGGTATATAGGTCTAGACCTATATTTTAAAAAACAAACGGCACTTTGTGGTTGATGTGGTCAGTATCACGCCGGCCGCCTTTACTTCCCAGGAATGTAGCTGGTACCCACTCAATGCTGGGTCGACCTGGGAGCCAGGTTAGTTTTTTAAAGAAAAAAAAGCCCGGCCCGAGTGAGGAACCCAACACACGAGCTTCCGATCCGCAGCCGAGCGTCTACAGTTGTGTAGTGTCTTGCCAACACTGTACTTACCCGAGGTGTCCCAGATGGACATAGTGATCTTGTACGTCTCTGACACACTGTACTGGCTGTTGTGTGTCTCGAAGCCGGTGGGTGTGTATGTCTGTGGAACATTTACAGCGAAACAAATCAGTTAGGGGCGACAATAAAAGTATACATAAAGTTACAGATAACAATAAGGTTTACAACAAAAACAAAGGAGTGGTGGAGAAAATGTCTGTAATTCTGTAATGACAACTATGCAGACACACACACACCATGGCGGTAACACATATACACACCTGGTTAGTTGTATTTTGTATGCAGATGTTAACACTGACGGGTCGAAAAATCAATTGAGTAACTGTTAAATTATTCAAGGCTATTCGATTTTGTAAAAAGGCGTCGATAAAAATACCTTATGGCATTAATAACTCCTCCCCCCCCCCAACCCCCTTTTTTCACCCTCCGTCTCATGCACACACATACACTAACATAACAAGCGATAAGAAAGATAACTAAAGATAATACAAGATCGCAAGGGGTTGACGGGACACTCCAAGGTCGTGGGACAATAAGAGAGAAAAACAGACGACCTTGTGACTTACTGTCTTTGTAATCTTTTCATCCATTCATTATAGCAGAAGTATTAATTACAGTGCAAATCGCGACTATCTGTTAGAGTACCCTTCAACGAAGGGAATAAATAAATCACTGCTCATTGTTTTAACATTCGTTTGTAGACAGACTACTTGTAGTAATCACATCTCATCTGTGTTCAAGGCGGTATATTTATTGAGTGCTAACACTTTGTCTTTTAAACTGTGGGGGTCCCTTCCCCCTTTCTGTTCCTCGCCAAAGCCTTCGCTTTTCTTCCCAATCAACCCTTTTTATATATATATATATATATAATATATATATTATATATATATATATATATATATATATATATATATATATATATATAACAAACACACACACACACGTGTGTGTATATTATATCAGAGAGAAGGCAGGAACTGAAAAACCTCCACTCAAAACACTCACTAATCCATCAAGCTCACTGGGACAGGTTAGGCGTTTAAAGAATACCCGTTAACAAGACAATTATAGCCCTCAAAAACAGGGACGATGTCGGTTTTAATCAGAACAGCAGAAACTGCAATTCGTCTATGAAGTTACTATTTTTGAAAACGATATTCAGCCGGGTAAGGGAGGCGGGGGTGGGGTGGGGGGGGGGGGGGGGGAGAAGAGAATAAGAGGGATAAGCGAGAAAAGAATAAAATGGGGTTGAAGCAGACACGATTTCGTAAACTACGCTAAAGTAATCACAATTTCTGGTTGCATTTTTGCAGACGCAACATCCACAGAACAATGAATTAAGAGTGTATTACCATAATGAAAGAACATAAGACATTAAATGTGCGCAGTGGCAACACTGAACAATTGAGGCAACTAGAATGTGGTTCTTAAGAACGTTGCGAATACCGTGGACTGCCAGAATAACTAACAATGACTGCCTGGAAATTGCTAAAGAAAGTAAAGCATTATATACAACAATGAGAAGGAGACGACAACAATGAGAAGGAGACGAACAAAGTTCTTTGGTCATGTAATGAGAAAAGGGGCACCGGGAAAATATCGTGACGACTGGAAATATCACTGGTAGAAGAGGCAGACCAAGAGAAACGACGGTGGCTGGCTGAAGACAGTTAGTTAGTTAGTTAGTCTTTCCTCTTGTGTCGAGTGCGGCACATAGGGCAGAGGTCGCGACTCTCCATGCACGGCGGTCCGTTGCAATCCGTTGTAGGTCTTGGATGTTTGAGTGGCCCATGAGCGAGCCTTCCCTGATGATAGTTCTACGTAGGGTTTCCCTTGGTCTTCCACGAGATCTTTTCCCCTGTGGTGTCCAAATGAGGGCTTGGTAAGGAAGTCTTGATTTATCCATTCTAAGGGCGTGGCCGACATAGTTCCAGCGGCGTTTTCGTATAAAATTAGACACATACTCTTGCCTGGATTCTTGCCTTATTTGTGTATTGGTTCGGAAATCTGACCATTTGAAATTTAGTATTCTTCTAAGGCATTTATTTTCAAAACTGTCTAATTTTGTGTCTAGAGTTTTCGTTGATTTCCAGCTCTCGCATTCATAGGTTAGTACTGGAATCACACAAGAATTGAAGATCTTGAGTTTTGTGTGTTTGCTAAGTGTCTTTGATTTCCAGATGTTAGACAGTTTATTGAAGGCACTAGATGCCAGTGCTATTCTAAATGATATTTCTGGTGCGGTATCTCCTGTAGATGACATCTTGCTCCCTAGATAAGTGAAACTGTTGACTTTTTCAAGGCTGTTGTTGTTCAGCGTGATATCAACTGAACTGTTGGTAAGGTCTAGAATTTTTGTTTTTTGCGGTGTTAATTTGGAGTCCAATTTGTTCTGAGAAATTCTGGAGTCGATTGATTTTTTCTTGGGCGTCTGTGTGTTCTGAACTCAGGAGTGCTATGTCGTCGGCGAAGTCTAGGTCTTGAAGACAGTGGCATGTAAAAATAACATCAGTGGAATTGATCCACAACACCAACGACTGAGATCTGTGGAGATGCAGAAACGCCTACGCCAGCTGGCAAAGCACTTGATGATGATGAGTGGCAACAATGGTCCTGCAATCCCATTCTCTAATTGTGGATTTTTCTTAACGTTTTGCTCACGTTAAGAAGAGTCCTCTCCCTCTAGCACATATAAGTTCGTACGCCCGTGTGTATTGTTGCGCAAGTAAAAAAAATTCCCTTCGCAGTTTGAAATCGAAAAGAGTAGCCTAACAGCGCTGCCCGTGCACAATTTTTAGTTAAAAATATAACTTAAAGTATTTCAGGATCCTCGCCGGTGCAAGGGAGTTCGTGCATTGCGCCGAGATTCTTCGCACATAGCCTTGAGTTAAAAGTAGAACGGAGCACTTATGGGTTACTACCTTTGCGTTATGTTGTTAATCTGTTGTTTAAACCTTTAGCACAATATAATGGAAAAGCCAAAAGAAGGTGTCAACAAACAATGACTATGCCATGATGCCAATACCCGGACAGTTAGCACTGACCGGTTACAATACCGTACTTGGCCATATACACAATTATATTTTACCCAGATCTTTTCACAAGAAAGCAAATACTGACAGGACCAAATTTCACAGCAAACGTTCCCCACAGACAACTTGTTGATCGTATATGTACAATAGCAGAGGCTGTCATATTTAATTCCCGAATGCTGCACAATTATACATGTCAGCTTGTAACAATTCAGGACTTGTCAACTTGTTCATTATTTCCATCCTGGTCCGTTTGCATATTGTGGTGTCAAGATGAAGTGCACACAGCGGAAAAGATCCCGTCTGTTTCGTAATTCAGTGTTCCCGGGAAGTGTTTATTTTTTCTGCCTCTGGCTTATATGGACAGCTTCCCTTCTTCTCTCTCTCTCTCTCTCTCTCTCTCTCTCTCTCTCTCTCTCTCTCTCTCTCTCTCTCTCTCTCTCTCTCTCTCTCTCTCTCCATGCACGCAATCTATAATTATACCTCGCTAATAAACAGTGAAGTTCGTAGTAGAGACAATATTGCAGATATAGAAAATCTATTCAACAAACAAAAAAAAAGAATTATGTGTTAGAAGTAGATCTAGGTGGCCAAACCATTTCAACGCTTTTCTACTGTATTATAGCATTCCCCACCCCCAATTTTCATGAATTGAACTATCATCATTTGTCATCTCTCTCCCCGCCCCTTTTTTCTCCACTGGAATCCCATCTCTATTATATATATATATGTATATAATTTTTTTTAAATGGTACTATAATGTGCTTACTTAAACTAGCTAGCACCTCCTACGACCTCCGACATGGCCTGTGTGGCACATTCCTGTTGCCTTTCTTCTCTCCCTGTGGATTCGACAACATGCTGCGACACATTTTAATAGGCCAAGAAGGAATTTTTAACAAGTGCATTTAATAGGTTTTATATGCTTCTTTTAAAGTTATTTGCCATGCATTAATCAGCAGAGATATTTCTTTATCATACACCCCCACCCCCTCCCCGAGAAAGTTCCAATATCTATTTCCTTTTACGTCCTTCGCTGCCGGATTCTAAATTCCATGCCCCTTCTGGCACAGCTTCCGGTTTCAAAAAAGCAAATTAGGTTTTTTCCAGGCGTGTTTCTGACAGGCAAATTATTTTATGACAAAAAAGGCGACATGACAAAGAGGATATAATCTGCAACCTTATTATCCGAGGATATATCTACTTCTGCTTTATGAATGTTCTACCGACTTCTTTGTTATGTTATTTTCTGTTATTGTTGATTTCGAATAGTAAAGACGCCTGCGCTTTTCTATGACAAATCAACAGCAGCAGAAGAAAAAGAAGAAGAGGAAGAGGAAGACGTAAAATGGTATTATAATGATTTGATATAAAACGCCGCTATTAATCCCTCGCCCCCAGGTGCTGACTGTAGATCAGTGTTTCCCAACGCGGGGCCCACGTCCCACAGGGGAGGTGGGGTTAAGTTTATTATGAGGGATAGGGGGGGGGGGCGGGTTGATTGTTAAAGAGTTTAAAGAGTCAGGGGTTTACAAGTTACGTATGGGGCATAAGAATTATAGAAAGGCTTAGGTATGGCGTGGTACAAAATGGGTTAGGCAACACTGCTGTACATTAAGTAGGGGTTAAAAACTACTGTGACACTATTCAACTTCAGAAAGTGCTTCCCTCTTCACACAAGCGGCTGATTATGCAATCCAACACTGTCAAGATATTTTAGACCCAGTTAAGCCAGTTTAAACTGTAACGTTTCACGCAGTTTGACCTGTGAATATTCAAGGCTTAAAACGTCAAGGCATTCAAGTCGATGCGTGTTCAGGCTGCAGGCACCTGTTCAAATGTCAGATTGCATGCTCCCAGCCCACGTTCTAACCACAACCAAGGCAAATCGGTCTGTCTATTTATTTGCAGGTAGTTTTATTTTTTATTGCAATCTTCAGGTGTTTGTAGATGATATCTTTATAAATGTTTTTTTAAAAGCCGTGCACGCACTGAAACAAGAGTAGATGGAGTCGGTTAGCTCCATAAGTATAGTATTAACTTGAAAAGA